GTCAAATTGTCTGCCCTCCTATTTCCATACTCTCCTCATGTCATTCTGTTTGTGTAGTCGCGGTTAAGCCGCGTCAATATTTTATATTCCTATTACTTTTTGTTTTATTATTTCTATAAAAAATTAATATAAAATATTAACGTGATTTAACAGTGATCATACATCACAGGAAGATATGAGAAGAGTATGAAAATGAGAAGACAGACAATCCACCTCCTTCATCGGGTGGTTGAAAGTTTTTTACTGACAATGCAGGGAAAAGGAAATGTCAAGGTCAGGAATGACAATTCGATATTCCCTGTGATCTGGAGTCTGACTTGCAGTGGGCAGAAAAGACAGCACAAAATAAACACGTGGCACCCCAGAGCTCTATGAAGTGGCACATAAAAATAATTGCAAGCAAATAGAAAAGAGTAATGCTAAGAAAATTAAATTTGTAGATTAAATTTTATAAATAATATAAAAGTTAGTGATTGAATTATTATTTAACTGTTGATAATATAAAAGTTAGTGATTGAATTATTATTTAACTGTTGATAAATGTGTTCATTTTCTATTGCTGATATCTTATTTAATTTGTTAATTTAATTTACAAATTTAGTCTTATTAACCGTACTCAATACGAAAAAGTCAAAAAGTAAATAAATATTCCATTAGAAGTTAAAGGATTGCGGTCTCTCTCTAATCTAATTCTATAATGTCTAATCTATTAATTTAATCTAGTCTGCTTTTGGTGGTAACTTTTACCACAAGAATGCTTCTATGCACTATTCCCATCAATTAGGCACTTACGAGACACATTTTTAAATTAATTAACCTTGTACGTTGTCCATGTTTGCCCATAAATCAATGGGCGGACCCTGATGATCTGTATTGGTCGTGACGCCAATAATAGAATGTGAGTATTAAATTTAATAATAGGTACATTAAATTGTTTAGTATTACAATTTAGTGGTATTTTTTTATTTACATGTATTTTTTTTCATTTGTAAATGAGAGATTTTAGACTCGATTCTGATCAAATGCAAATTTAAACCACAATATTATGGCTTGGCACAGTATAAAGTTTGGTCCATTTTTTCATCTTTTAGTGTACATAATTTTGTTTGTTTAAAAAAAAATTAATAAAAGGTCAATTAACTTTAAAATCTTCTAACACTTGTGTTGTACTTTTATCCTTTGATGTGAGATATGCTAAAGCGTTATTATAAGCTGACTCTGATACATGTCAAAATGTGAACATTCAGCTTTAGATTAGTTGGATATGCGTCAAGGCGCACAAAACAATGGGAGGGCACACTCTAAATACTCTTGGCTATCTTAATGATCACTTGATTCAAGTAAAAACGAATCATATACAATTTTTTACATAAATTATCCTAGCATTAGTCATGCGTGACACTAATGTTGTCAAAATTAGATTAACCGAAATCAATCCAATTAAGTTTAAATTTTATTGCTTGCAAGTGTACGAATCGTAAAGTAGTATAGTAGGCAAGCACAAGATCGTTTCAACTAAGATTGAAATAATTCTAATTATCTAACTTAATTTGTATTGCACTTGAATTGAAATGGAAAAATTGATAATTTGAGAAAGAACTTTGAAACTGTAAACATTAACAAAAATCAAATGAACTTAAATAAATGACAAGAACAACAAAGAAATCAAATTATAAATCAATTTCGAAAAACACTAGAGCATCTGATTCACCATAACCAATCCAACTCAATTCCTACAGCGAATTATTAATGAGTAATCATCCAAATTGACGATCTAGTTCCTCTAATTCATATAGTATTCATGGCATCTAGATTACTATGTATACTCATATGTGCTAACAATCTATGGCATCTAGATTACTAAACACACACGAGTTCATTAACGATTTGAGAACTACTTAAGAGACTGCATGAAACCTAGTGTATGGCATCTACATCAAGGAATTCATGGTACCATTTGCAAGACGCTAAAACCGAATTAACAACATGGCATCTGCGTTAACTCGCATCAAATACACTCAACTCAAACCAAAGTGGTGGCCAATCACCAAGATTAAAATCAAGCTTATAAGCACAACAAAATGATACTCAAAGTGAATGAAACTTCATAAATAATTAAACTGAGAAATTAAGAATTCATAGTTAGGCTACATCATAGCCCTAGCGAAAAGAAATTAGTTCCGGAACATAATCGAAATATTATTGAATTCATTAAAAGAAAACTAAGTTTAGAAAAGCCTGAAAATCTCTTGCTTTGCCGCACTACACTTCTCTGTTCTTGTTCAGCCTTCTCTTTTTTCCTTTTGAAGCATCTGATTGCTTCTCCGTGTACTTCCTTTCTTGAATCCTCATTAATGTCTAGCCCCATTACTGATACCTTAATACCAAAACAAAACTCCCAGCCATTTTTTTTTTTCCTTTGTCTTCCCTCTTCTTCTTCCTTCTTTTCTTCTCCATAACCGACGAATACTTAACATCAATTTATTGCTTTTACTTGCTGTTGATTACTCCTTAGAAATCAATAAGATAGCAGCAGTATTCCTTTTTTTTTCTCTTCTATCCAGATGAAATGATAAGAGCAAATTTTTGTGAGCTTTATGGCCACATGTTCTTCTATATTTCTCATCCTGCATCCAATTCACATTGAAATCAATTAGCACATGGTGGTCTTGGCTTTTAATATTTCAAATGCACAAATGGTTAAATAGTTAGAGCACTAGATAAATGGGCATTTAAAATATGTACCAGACTCACTTGACTAGCTATAAATTTAAAGATCAAAGAGTTATGATATATTTCTCCATCATGTTATTTTAGCCATAAAAATACAAATGACATGTACTTCCTTACATTTAAATTCAATATATCACAATTAAATGTATAAAATAAGTATACCCCAAACTTACATTTTGCTAGTCCCTGAGCAAAAGAATGAAAAACATGAAAAGTAATAGCATGGAAAATGTTAGCTTCCTCCTATGACCACAAAGAATCTCAATCAAGAGTTCATAATAATCAAGAATTTTCATAAGCACAAAGCAAGTGAATCAACCATATTCCAAGTGTTATCCGAAACCTTTCAATCATCCTTGAGGTGTAGTGTGTATAATAGTCATGCCAATGCAATTCCAAGCTTTTTAAAATCATCATATGCAAACTCGTGAGCTTCTCACAAGGCATACACTCAATCATACATATTTTTGGGTTATGTATTTCACTCAAATGATCTCATTAAACATGCCTCTATATGCTTGCTTATCAACCTAGCTCGGTATCAAGTACTTCCTTGGATCAAAAGGTCTTTTGTCAGGTTGTAATGAGGCTAAGGGTTATTGCCTATTAAAAGAATGGATATGGAATTCAAAAATTTTGAGAAAGTATACATTAGAGCAAGCCAAAAATAGTAGCACCCCATCTCAATTTCGACTGAAAAAATGAAATTTGCATCACAAGCTATCCCTCCAACTTATGCAATCGTACTCAAGCTTTCTACATATGATAACAATGAACATTAAGAATACAAGTATGCTTGTACATAACACATTGCAACACCGTAGAACTTCAATTTTCTTTTTCTTTTTTCATTCTTGCTTACAATGTAGCGTAGACTCTCCATCCAATTCCTCTATATATATAATCAAAACCCCAAAAACATAACCTCTGTAATATTTTCGCAAAACAATAAAGGATTGGTATATGCATAAAGGCTCAACTCCAATATCGGAGCATGGTAGGGAGATGTGGCTAACAAAGAAAAGGCTTATTTTAAGGCTCAAAGGGCTACTAGCGATAAAAATAGCTTATAAGGTAGGCATGAAAGGCTCAAATGATCCAAAAATGGCCTATATCCTTTCAAAGTTATGACATGAATTGATGAATGAATCGAGAGGTATAAGGTAAGTTCTAGAGATTCATGTAAGAATGAGATCATAGCACGAGAATAAATGTGATTGATGCATGGTAGTTCAATCATATTAGGCTCAAAAACTCACAAGGTTCACATTTGGTCACTAAATTCACATATGAAGCGTTAAATCATGCTAATTTCACATCAACAAGACTATGTGCATTTGTGTTTCAAGGATGATTGGACATGTACAAACTAACAAGAGAATAAGGAAATTCACCTAAGACGTGCCTACTAATTTCTCGATCACCATGTTTCGAATTCAACCAATCATATCATTGGGTCGAGAAACTAACGAAAAACTAATGCAAAACAATAAAGAAAATAGGAAAATGTTTTTGAATTTTCAATTTTTCTGATTTTTTTTTCTTTCAAATTTTCAAATTTTTGGTGTTTTTTTTAAAGCACTAAGAACAAAGAAAACTAAAGTGATGAAACAACCTAACTCAAAATTGGCAAAGCAACATAAAGACAACGCAATTCTTGTTGAAAGATTTGAAAAAAAAAATTATTTTCTTTCTTTATCCTCACCCCCCAACTTAAACTAGACATTGTCCCTAATGTCTTTCAACACATGAAATAAAGAAAAAAAAAATAACATGAACGAGGAAAAGCATTGTGAGTAAGACACTTCCCTAATTTATGCACCACATGGCAGTCCTTGTGTTCCAACTTGTAAATGCAATTTCCAAAGAAATCACCACCCCCAAACTTCGATGTTTCAGAGTTCTAACTTATGTTGGATGGCAGCAACATGAACCTACAAAAACAAAGGGTAAAAGGAAAGGATCAGTAGCCGAGCAAGAGAGAAACAAAATTCAAAACTAAATAAAATGACAAAAATAAAAGGAAACAAAGGAAAAATAAAGGAAAAGAAAATTTGGGTTGCCTCCCAAAAGCGCTAAATTTATAGTCTTCATCTGGACTACGAAACGGTTTAAGCAAGATCAGTGAGAAGAGGTGCAAAATTGGTGGCATCAGATTTGACATCCACATTCACCTCCTTGTTCAGAACATTGACTTCAAAACACTTTGCCTCATTCGAACACTTAATAGCTTCAAAAACTTTAAACACCACATGCTCTCCTTGAACTCACAATGTGACTAGGCCACTTCGAACTTCAATTACAGTATCCGCAGTGGCCAAGAATGGCCAACCTAGGATAATCGGAATTTCACGAACTTCTTCCATATCAGGAACCACAAAATCTACAAGGAGAATTAACCTGTCAACTCGAAACCAACACATCTTCAATAATTCCTCTTGGGTATGTGATAGACCGATCCGCAAGTTGCAAACAAAACGATGTTGGTTTCATCTCTCCCAAACCTAATTGTTTAAAGATAGAGAAAGGCATTAGATTAATACTTGCACCCAAATCACACAAAGATTTATCAAAATAAGTATTTCCAATCGTGCAAGGAATAGTGAAACTCCCTGGATCTTTCAACTTAGGTGGCAATTTCTTTTGTAGCACTGCACTACATTCTTCAGATAACATCACCGTCTCATGTTTAGCGAATCTCCTCTTCTTGGTGAAAACATCCTTCAAAAATTTTGCATAGCTTGGGATTTGTTTCACTGCATCAAGCAAAGGAATGTTAATATGCACTTTTTTAAACAATTCAAAAATGTCAGAAAAGTGTTGATCTTTCTTAGCCTTTTGTAACCGTTGAGGATACGGAATAGATGGAGAAACTTTTTTCTCGTGTACTCGCTCTTCCTCTTGCGGTTCAGTGATGCCAGTTACCAACTTTTCAACCGGGTCCACTTTTCCTTCACTCTTTTTCTCTACAATTTTCCCACTCTGGAGTGTGATGGCCTTGACTTGCTCTTGGTTTTTGGGATTGATCTCAATTTGACTTGGAAATTTTCCCTTCTCTCTCTCAACCATTGCATTGGCAGTTTGACCAACCTACTCCTCTAGCTTGCATATGGATGCTTGCTGATTTTGTAGAGAAGTCTGAGTTGCTTGCATGAAATTGTTAGTGTTCTGAGCAATAGGGTTGGTAGTTTGAGCTAACTGAGCCATCATATCTTCCATGGAATTCTTTTTGGCTTCATTGTTCTAGAATGGTATAGGTGGGTTCACGTGACTCTGTTGATTGTTCTTCCAAGCAAAATTTGGATAATGACGCCAACCAAGATTATATTTGTCTGAAAATGGATCAAACGGTTGGCAGTTGAAGTTGTTCACTTGATTGGCTTGTTCTTGAATAAACTTCGGAAAAGAACTGCTCATGAGACACTCGATGCTGGAATGTATACCTGCACAAATTTCACAAACACCATCAAATGATTTCACAAATTTAACAACCATCAAATTATCAAACTTTTTATTTAAACTAGAAATTTGTGCAGCCATAGCCAACATGGCATTAGTCTTATGCACTCCGGCCTTCTTCGGTAATTCTTTATCGGTACCCCAACTTTGAGAATTAGCCGCCAATGTATTGAATAGTGCAAAAGCTTCGTCAACGGTCTTTGTCATTAGAGCACCCCCACTAGCAGCATCTATCATCCTCTTGTTATCAGTACTTAAACCTTGATAGAAATTCTGAAGTTGCAGCCATTCTAGTAGACCATGGTGTGGGCACTTCAACAACAAATCTCTAAATCGCTCCCAACTCTCATAAAAGGGCTCGCCATGGAATTGAGCAAAAGTCATTATGTCGTTCCTCAACTTAGCAGTCTTGGAAGGAAGGAAGAATTTTTGCAATAATTTGCTTGCCAAGTCATTCCAAGTTGTGATCGAGTTGGGTGGAAAGGATTTGAGCCAAGTTTTCGCCTTGTCTTTTAGTGAAAAAGGGAACAAACGCAATTTAACGGCTTCATCCGTCACATTATGGACCTTGAGAGTGTCACAAATCTCAAGAAATTCATTGATATGCAAATTGGGATCTTCGGTTGACAAACCATAAAATGACGGCATCATTTGAATAAATGATGGCTTCAACTCGAAATTGTTAGCAGCGATTTGCGAATAAACGATGCATGAAAGAGAGGTTGTCACCGTAGGAGTGGAATACTCCATCAACATTCGGTTCTCATTCAGATTAGGGAGAACCATTTCCTCAGTTGGTCCTTGTGGCTTTGTGTGCGATCTCCATAGGTGTGGAAAGGTTCTCTCAATTTCTGAATTGTACAGTACAAGCTCTAGACTTCGAGAACGACAACCGTGCATAAACCTCAAAAAGTACATGAAAAGAAAAGAAAGCAAAAACAAAATTAAAATTAACACAAATAACAATGAAAATAAGCTAGAAATAGAACTAATTCAATCTTCGTCGACGGTGCCAAAAACTTGTTGCCAAAATTAGATTAACCGAAATCAACCCAATTAAGTTTAAACTTTATTGCTCGCAAGTGTACGAATCGTAAAATAGTATGGTAGGCAAGCACAAGATCTTCCAACTAAGATTGAAATAATTCTAATTATCTAACTTAATTTGTATTGCACTTGAATTGAAATGGAAAAATCGATGGTTTGAGAAAGAACTTTGAAATTGTAAACGTTAACAAAAACCAAATGAACTTAAATAAATGACAAGAACAACAAAGAAATCAAATTATAAACTAATTTCGAAAGACACTAGAGCATCCGATTCACCATAACCAATCCAACTTAATTCCTATAGCTAATTATTAATGAGTAATCATCCAAATTGACGGTCTCTAATTCATATAGTATCCATGGCATCTAGATTACTATGTATACTCATACGTACTAACAATCTATGGCATCTAGATTACTAAACACACACGAGTTCATTAACGATTTGAGAACTACTTAAGAGGCTGCATGAAACCTAGTGTATGGCATCTACATCAAGGAATTCATAGTACCATTTGCAAGACGCTAAAACCGAATTAACAACATGGCATCTGCATTAACTCGCATCAAATACACTCAACCCAAACCAAAGTGGTGGCCAATCAACAATATTAAAATCAAGCTCATGAGCATAGCAAAATGATACTCAAAGTGAATGAAACTTCATAAATAATTAAACTGAGAAATTAAGAATTCATAGTTAGGCTACATTGTAGCCCTAGCGAAAAGAAATTAGTGCCGGAGCATAATCGGAAATATTATTGAATTCATTAAAAGAAAACTAAGTTTAGAAAAGCCTGAAAATCTCTTGCTTTGCCGCACTACACTTCTCTTTTCTTGTTCAGCCTTCCCTTTTTCCTTTTGAATCATCTGATTGCTTCTCTGTGTACTTTTTTTCTTGAATCCTCATTAATGTTTGGCCGCATTACTGATACCTTACTACCAAAACAAAACTCCCATCCGTTTTTATTTTTTTATTTTTTTTTTTTTCGTTTCTTTGTCTTCCCTCTTCTTCTTCCTTCTTTTCTTTTCCGTAACCGACGAATACTTAACATTGATTTATTGCTTTTACTTGTTGTTGATTGCTCCTTAGAAATTAATAAGAGAGCAGCAGTTTTCCTGTTTTTTTTTTTTTTTCTCTTCTATGTAGATGAAACGATAAGAGCAACCTTTCGTGAGCTTTATGGCCACATATTCTTCTATATTTCTCATCATGCATCCAATTCACATTGAAATCAATTAGCACATGGTGGTCTTGGCTTTTAATATTTCAAATGCACAAACGGTTAAATAGTTAGAGCACTAGATAAATGGCCATTTTAAATAAGTATCAGACTCACTTGACTAGCTTTAAAGATCAAAGAGTTAGATTATAGAGAATGTTTTTTAATTTACTATTCTAATTTTTAAAAGGAACATTGCTTAAAAGGCTTATTTTTAGATATGCCTCTTGAACTTAATTTTGATTTCATAGAAGTTTACCAAATTAGACTCATAGTTTCTATAAGTTTACCTAACCTAATGATGTATATTGATTCATCCCTTCACTTGTATAGAAAGACTTAGAATTTGAAAAAGCAGGAGATGGAAAGGAAATGAGAAAAAGAGAATTGCAAAGAAATGATGATATATTTCTCCATCATGTTATTTTAACCATAAAAATACAAATGACATATAATTCCTTACATTTAAATTCAATATATCACAAGTAAATGTAATTTTCAAGATAAAAAAAGAATACAATTTGCGCTCATCAACTAACACGGTCATTGATGATTATAAGTTGTGCGGTATATCCAACCCACATCAACAACTATGATAGCATCACATAAACGGTAGCACGGCTTTACATATCTGAGCAGGTTAAATCCAGATCTTGATGACTAATTCAAACTAAAACCTTAGCTCTTACACACTTGGGGTCCCCTCATATGCCCCAAAATGGAGTCACTCTCTCAATTGATCATGGGGGCCACTCTAGATGCTAAATTTGGTGAATGTTTTTTGTCATCATCCTCAAGTGAAGTCAATTTGACTATTTTATTTATTGTTGTTGGATGAATACTCATCTAATTATAATAAGTGAAGTGATTGAACAAAATTTCACGTCTAAATTTCGTTCCATTAAGTGTATATCTATTACTTAGAAGAAGCTGAAAGGGTTTGTTGGTTAATTTGGGCGAGCCCCTCGCCCAAGAGGAATTTTTTAAGTATCGAGTATTCAAACATTATTTCATTTGCTATGAGATTAATGAAAAAATAATATATTTTACAATATATCTTTGATATTAGAAGGCTAGAAGTAAGTTTTGGCGTCTCAAGGCTTCACCAAAAATAATTGGACACAAAAGCCCCTGAAACAAAATAAAAAATTACAACTACCCATAAAAAAAAGAATATAATACCAAGGGTATTTCCGTAAACACATTTATTTTAATTTGTTTTAGATAATAACAGAAAACACTAAAAAATAAAAAATGACGTCAAAACTGAAACCACACAAAAAACTGAAATCTACAGCATGAGAGGGGAGGATGAAAACGCACGATGCGATCATGCTTTTCCATGGCAAAAAAAAAAAAAAATGATCGTGCTGCTCTAGACCTAAAATCCACGTACCAGTATTTAGGGAATGTATTTAATTAAAATTTTTAAGAATTTTAATACTTTTAATGAATCCAGAAGTACTAAATCTCTACTTATTTAACAACAGTTGAGTAACTGCTTAAATACCAGACAGTTTAATTCTCCCACGGTTCCACCCCACCCATACGATTTTGCCTTGCCACGTGACAATGTTCCCTCCAAAAACACTACAAAATAACACTCCAAATGGTCAAGTCAGCCAAATCCTATCCTACGTCATATATGGATGGACCCATCCTCCACCCTCATCTTGGAGTGAATATCAGTATTCAAACCCAAATTATGAAACATGGACCCACATGACAAAAACAATGCTGGTATCCCCAAAACGGCGTCGTAGATGTCGCGAGAGCAAGCGTGGCGTGGCTGTGCAAAACTGCAAACCGACAACATAAAAGCAGGAAAATGATAACTGAAAACAAAAGCTCTACTCTGACATGGGTCATCTTCTTCTCGCTTCCTCTTAGATTCCCTGTCTGATTTTCCCTCTTTACAACCACAAAACGGTTCGTTTCGTTGAACGAATACCTTAGAGGTTTGTTCTGCTTCTCTGTTTTTCTTCTTCTTTCTGTTTGATGGAATTGAATTGGTGGGTGCTTTTGTTTTTTGTTTTCTGTTTTTTTTTTTTTTAGAGATTTTTTTGTTGGGTTTTGTTTTTCATCTTGTTTGCTAATCTGGGTTTGCTCATAAATTAATAGTGGTCAAATTATCAATCTGGTTTTCTGTTTCATAACTCAGTCTTTCATTTTGTTTAATTTTTTTTATGAAGTATCTCTTTTTTTTTTAATATATGCTAAACTTCGTGGAGGGGATTCGAACTTGAGTGCAGAGGTGGAGCACACTGCTCTCGCTAACTTGGCTAATTCCTAGTCTGTGAATATTTTTATTAAGTTAGTGGGGTTTGGTGCTTAATTTGGCAGGATTATGGTAAGTGTTATTTGCCGGCTGTGTAAGGGTTATTAAGGTCGTTCAGAACCCTTTGGCATCTGCATTTGGGTATCTTAGAGAAATAAAAGAAGGGTTGGATTAACTGATTAAGGACAGGTGAAGGAATATTCAGCTTCTTTATGTTTGTACTGATCCAGTGGAGGTAATGGTTTTTCAACATCTTTAATTGGTATCAATGTTTTTAAAGCTTTCTAATGTTTCGTGATTTCGAATTGTCGTGCAATTGCTAGTTATGTTATCCATTGGTTTCTGTTCTTCTTCTGATTGTGTTGGTGTTTCGATTCGTTTGAACTTCTGTTTTGTATATGTTTTGAGTGATAAGGAGTAACATTTGTTTCTCATTGGCTTTAGAGAAAAAGAATGTTGGTGATTGGGGTTCGGGGTTCGGGGTTTGTGATTCTCCTCGAGTGAGCTTCCCATAAAGTCAAGCGCGCACGCAGCGAGCTTGATAGAAAGGGAAGTAGGTTGTGGAGTTGGAATCTAGGAATTTCCGCATTGATCATAGTTGTGTATGACTTGTAAGGAGATTCGGGGTTTTAAATCAAGATCCTTTTTATGGAAGAATTTGTCACCAGTCAAAGTGGCTGGGTTGACCACCTTATCATGATATAAAGTATAGCAAGCTTTATAATTTGATGCGTATGTTATAGTTTTTCTGGTATTGAAGGATTTCAGCTACTTCTAGTGTGTAAAATCATGATACCCGGTGTCCCATTACTGAACTTCGAGTGGCACCATGGACTTTCAGCAGCTTCCAGAAGTTGTCATTCTCCAAATGAACTGTGAACTGTTCAAATATATTGAAGTAATGATAAACATGGTCGGAAGTAATGATAAACATAGTAAAGTTTTATTTTTGGCTTGCTAAGCCTGCATTATCTTGATCTTAATTTTAGAACCTATCTTGGATGCTTCGAACGAATAATTGTTTTGTTTTTCTCTTGTTGCTTCTTTAGTGGGATTTTGGTAGTGAAATAGTACGACCCTTTCTGTTGGATTAAAATTCTGATATATTTTTTATTTTTTGTTAACAATGTGTAGTGTATTTTCCTTTTACAAAGTAAAATGTACAAAAGCATAGCAAGCTGATGGCGGCAGCAGAAGCAAGGGCTGTGTGGCAGAGAACAGCTAATCGTTGTTTTGTCCAGGAGGATGCCAAAAGAGCTCCCAAGTTAGCTTGCTGCCAATCCTCATCTTCGACAACTAGGCAGGTTGATGCTGGGCCTGCAAATGTAGCAGAAGGGCCATATCATCCTGCCACTGGTTTCATGCCTATCAATCGGAATCCTTCATATTCTAGTCTACCCCCGGATACAAGATGGTGGCTGCAAATGCAACCTAGCTATGGGTACCAAAAAGATTTTACATACGAACAGTTAAGTGCATTGGAGGCTGACATGGAAACACTGAGAGCTGGGTTCGTGAAATCAACACCCAAAACTAGCGAGGTCCACCAGCAAAAGGCAGAATTCACTGATGCAGTCCCCGCTGTTTGTATGAAGACAGGATACGAAGTCCAAAAGCAAGATGTAAGTGCCAAATATAGTAAGAACATGCAGGAACCTCTTCAATACGAAATGAAGAAAAAATATGAAATAATGGGGATGGATACCATTGATTGCCCAGTTTCCAATCAACTCAAGGAGTTTTGTTGTGACTATCCTTGGATTGGAGGTGGGAGGGCTGAACCATGGTGGCGGACAACGGACAGAGATGAATTGGCTTCCTTGGTTGCTCAGAAGTCGCTTAACCATATTGAGAACTGCGACCTTCCCCCACCTCAGAAAATGTATCATAAGAGACATCCATATGCTGATATTGGATGTTCTGACCCGAATGTGATATTGGGGACATCTTTAGATGCAAAGGCCCAAGCAACGGGTCTTTCCAGTATGACCACTCCTGCACATGGCTATCCTGATTCTGGAAAGGGAGAAGCATCTGGAGAAGGGCACTCCGACAAGTCATTCAGGTGGTTATTATATATTAGATTGACATTCCAGGTCCTCGTGTTATTTAAGAATTATTCAGATTTTAGATTTCATTTCGAAGAACACACTTGGTACACAATCTTAAAAAAAATTTGGGACTAGCAGTCAGATCAGTTATATTTCTACTTGCAGAGACATAATGGAGATACAACAACTTTCTGAGGGTGAGCCTACAAAAGCTCAGCTAATGGAAGCACTCTGCCATTCTCAAACACGAGCAAGGGAAGCCGAGAAGGCAGCAAAGCAAGCTTATGCCGAGAAGGAGCACATCTTTAAGCTCTTCTTCAGACAAGCCTCTCAACTCTTTGCCTATAAGCAGTGGTTCCAATTGCTGCAACTGGAAAGTCTTTACCTCCAGATTAAAAACAATGAACAGCCTCCAAGCGCCACTGTTTTTCCGGAGGGACTTCTATGGATGCCAGCCAAAGGCAAGAAACTGCGGAGGAACTGGCGTAAGGGTGCCAAGGGTAAAAGAGGAAGGAGGGCCGAACCCAGGCACGACATTGCAACTTATGCTGTTGCTTTTGCATTGGGGTTCAGTCTCGTTGGTGCTGGCTTGCTCCTGGGATGGACTGTGGGGTGGATGTTACCCCATTTCTAGGTTGTGTAGTAGTTCTGAGTTGTGACCATTTCATGCCTCTTGTAATGATTGTTCAAAAGGGAATATGTGTTTTGGGTTAGTTTCTTTGTTTATTTCGTCCAGGTTTTACGTAGATTTCGTATGTAAATATACCCCGATGTTTTGGGTTAGTTTCTTTGCGAGGAGGGATGAGATTTTGTATAAATTTTATTTGGTTACTCTTCCACCTTACGTTTGTAAATTATCACAAGTCTTGGTTATTTTCCCTTTTGTTTTCAGGACTTTGCTCTTTATTTTTTCTTTAAAAAGGGAACAACTAGTAGCAAATTACGATTATCCACTTTTTCTGGACTTGAAGAGGTTATGGGAAATATCATCTTACCCGTGATCACAGTCAAGCAGACTCATTAGGTCAGAGCATCGAACCCGAACCTTTCACATTTTCTTTGTTTTATTGGGAGTGGTAGTTCGCGCATTTACGATTAGACCACTTGCTGTGATTATGACTTGCACTTTTGACTCCGGTGGTATGATGGTTTAGGAGACTTATCCTGTTAGTCTCAGAAGTCAATGGCGCCTCAGCTATAAATTTTGAAGGGAGAATTTTGCCGTCCTGTCCCTGTTGAATGAAGAGTTATGTCTGCCATCCAAGAGAGAGGAGGGATTTTCTTCGGTGCTATGGAAGACTACTTTGTAGTTTGGCTGTTTTAACAGTTATATCTTTGTTTAAAGATATAAAACTTAATATTTAATGGTTAAAACACATGAAGTATCGGGTACTCCAAAGCATCTAAGAATTTTTGGAGAGAAGTAGTTCGTGTGATTGTCACATTGCCACGTAGCCTTATAACCTATCTATTTGTATTATAATAAGTTCAACATTAAAACTCGAGCAACCGTATGGTTTACTCTTATTATAACTTTGGAGGCAACCTGAATGCATCGAACTTTGACTTTGTTAAGCGGAAGACAAAAAATAATATGCATTTGGTTCTTACAGGTAGGGATGGGCAACGATTATGGTGGGCAGGTAACCGCGGTTGTTTATCCATAACCGTTTATGCTCATATCCGTATAACCGTTTACCCGTTGGGTAATTGCCTAAATGGTTATACTTATACTTATAACCGTTTATAAACGGTTAATCATACCCATAACCACATACCCATTTAACCATAACCGTTTAATACCCGTTTACCCATTTACTCTTTTTAACCCATTTCTCTTTTTCTTTTTTTACCATTACCCATTTTTCACCCGTCTACATGTTTTTTAACAACTTGAAAATTTAAAAAAAAAAAATTGTCATAATTTTTTTTTTTTTGACAATTAAACACCGTTATAGATACATTCATCATACATTTTCATATTTTAATTTTTTAAGTCTTTATACCATTCTAATAATTGAAATAATAATTTATAGATGATATTTTAAATTGATATAGAATGAAAAAGCAAGAAAATTAGTTTTAAAAAACAAAATTGGAATATAGGATATGTAAATTACGGTAACAATGCTAAGAAAAGTGAGGGATTAGCTGAAATGGCAAGTTGCAACATGTTTGAGGAACAGATCTTGGGTTGAATTGAGTGAGTGGGGCTGAGGGGAATTGTTATTTATTTTCCTAATTTTTGGGAAAACTTTTACTATTAATCCATGTTACTAATGAAGGTAATATAATATTTGTTAAGTATTTTTGGTTACGAAAACGGTTTAGAAGACAATATTCTTGAGTTATTTAATCTATAATGTAAAGTATTAACATAATATATATAATTAGCTATATAAACCATGCACTATAGTCAATAGCATTGATCTAAGTTTTGTTCGATAAAGAACATGGTTTATGTTAATTTTACATATATAAAATAAATGGGTAAACGGTTATTTGTTTATAACCACGGTTAATATCCATGATCACCCATTTAAATTTCACGGATAAACGGTCATACCCATAACCGTTATAACCGTTTATTTATCTAAACGGTTACCCATAATCGTAACAATGAAATTTAAATAAACGGGTAATTGCGATTACCTATATCCGCGGGTATTTTGTCCATCCTTGCTTACAGGTGTTCAAAGTAAGTATCTTAGGATAGCAGGACTGAACTGTAGAGCAAAAACAACAATTACCCCTCGGAAAGTTGCGTCTCCATGTGGGAACCAAATCAAGTTATCCAACCCAAGTTAATTTAAGAAGCCCAAGTTTGAGCCCTAAATTAAGTACTGAACCCGAATCGCTAAGAATCAGCTCCCTTCACCCGGGTCAGGTTTGCAAAGCAGATCCGTTTCTGCTTCCATTTTGTTCCAGCTTTCAAGCTTCTAGGTTGTTGCTCAGACGACGGAGAGGATCCCTCACTCACACAAAACCCCAAAACACAGACACCCGAGAGATGGCAGTGATGGAGAAGCTCAGGATGTTCGTCGCTCAGGAGCCTGTCGTCGCAGCTTCTTGCCTCATCGCCGGCGTTGGTACTCTCTCTCTCTCTCTCTCTCTCTCGCGCGCGCGCGCGCGCGCGCAAAATCCCTATTAAATTTAGGATCAAATTGATGGGATTCAAATTCCCAAAATTGGTGGACAGAAATTTTCATAACCTGGGTTTGGTTTCGTGTGCAAACTTTCCGATTTGGGGGAATTTTGCTTTTATGCTCAGATTAAATAATGTATGTTGTGTGCACCACTGTATTTTGATTTGAATGTTTGAGCCGTAAAGGTGCAGTTTTTGTTTTTGTACAGCTCTCTGATGCCAATTCAGTCCTGGCATACATGTTCTGAGGCAAAGTTCTGAAATTTTGAAGTGTTCGTTATATCTTGGGGGGGTTATTCAATTGGGATTTTGAGGGATTTTAATTCTTTTAATGAATCCAGTGGTATTCAATCTGGATTTTAAGATAGTTTATTAAAATCCTTAGAAATCCGGATGTATTCAATTAGAATTTTAAAGAAGTTTATATCATTACAGGTGTATTCAATTAGAATTAGAATTAGAATTAGAATTTCAAGAATTTGGAAAAGTTGAGGAATTAGAGGGAATTGAAGAAATTTTGTAATTTTTTTAAGCATCCACAAATCTCACCTCTCCCCATGAGATTTTGAGGGAATTGAATCAAAATTTTGCATGGAATCTCTACAAATTAGTTAAACTCCATAAAAATCCATGAATTTATAAATCCATTAAAATCTCTCAAATTCCTAATTGAATACAGCCCCTTAATCTCTAATGAATTACAAGTTTAGATTACGCTTATGCTGTTGTGACGGAAAGAATTACATGTTTGTAGCTGTGTGCATTCATTTGTCTGGGAATGGAAATCTAGGACTTGAGTTCTTTTTCTCCAATAGATTCAGCCTGGTAGAACAACAATATGCTTCCAAGGCTGGAACAGTCGTTGCCAGAAAACAGCTGTGGGCTCTGCGGTTGGGATACTCATTTTGATAATCGTATTGAACTTTTTACATTCTCCGCGAAAGAAATATTTCCTAATGAATTAGAATTGTATTTTTCTATTGGGAAGTTATTCCTCATATAGAACTTGTAATATGATAAGTGATCCATTTTACTCGCGAGAAACTATGATCAATTTTGCTCGTTGAGACTGAGGTCAAATTTGGTTCCTAATGTTTTCAAGTTAGTAGATCAAGCATTTTAAGAAGCATCTAATTAGTATCTGTTAAGGTTTCAACGGCACTCCTGTCGGGCTTATGGCTATATTCAACTGACTGGTTATTATGATGGAATTTCAGGTCTCTTTCTTCCAGCTGTAGTAAGGCCAATTCTTGATTCCTTTGAAGCTTCTAAGCAAGTCCCTCAGCCTGCTTTAAGCGATGTGAGTGTTAAACGACACGTTAGTTAAAAATTTCATTCATTCTTTGCCTAATTATGCACTTTACATAGAGCACTTGGATGTGTTATGTTGTTCATAAAGAAAATGTTCACGGTTGGTTCATGCCTTTATGGATTTGAACTTAATCTAACTTGGATATAGTGACTGCTCAACTCATATCTTATCACTACCTAATTAGGTGGGTAGAGTCCATGGTGTTCTTCATCGTCATAGTTAGATTGGTGGTCTGCATGGAATTCTTATGAACCTCCAAAACTTGCGCCCTCTCCTAATAGGTCTAAGTGGTTTGGCTATGTGCTCTTACACAGCCATGACCATGTAACTTGACAAGGATAGGAAAAGAAGATAGAAAAATTGGATCCTCTCAACTTGCTCTGTCATGATTTGATTTTGTCCATTTATCTGCTCAATTATAGTTCATCTTGATCTATTCTTAAATAAAACTCTATATCCATCTCGAGAGAGAACAGGACCTAAGTTTGTTTCAATATAGATTTCATGGCCGCTTGTTCTTTTGGCCAGAAATTGTGCGCCCTCACAAGCCGCAACACTCTTAACAAGATCTTTTATCTTGTTTCTTTACTGTCGCTCGTATTTCTGAATTACCTGGGTATTTTTCACAGGTGGTTGCAGGTATGACAGGTAAAAAATAGGGGCGATATGATTCATTGGTACAGGCGAACGATCGCCCTTCTTTTATTTTTGCCATTTTTCATGAGCATTGAAATAAGCCTGACAATCTTGTGCGGAGAACATAGTGATGCTGCATGTTGAATATTATCCTTTTTGTTGTAAGCATGTGACCGGTTTCCTTGTCACGTTAACTTTGACTAGCCGAAGCTGCTGCTGTTCTTGTTGATTTGAAGCCCAATTTAAAGCTTAATGAATGCATGCCGAACATAAGTGCCTGCTTCCATTTTATTCTTTATGCTTGCTTCACATGAATTCAATTTTCTTTCAATTGTCCTGTATAAACTTTTCATTTGTCCCGATATAAAACATAAATTCACAGTTTTGATGCCTTTCTGATCCCCATGTTTTTCTCGTGTTTTAAATTTGGCCAATTTGGTCTCCTGAGTTTTCTGTTAAAAATTTTGGTCATTTCCGTCTCATTTCGGTGTTGATGCGCAGACGTGGAAGATCTCGCAAGACCGATTAACATCAAATTAGGCAAAATGTACTAAGATTGTTGACAGGATATAAAGCACATAAACCAATTGGTCAAGTTGGAAACTGAGATCAAAACATTACTTAAACCAAAACACAGTTACGAAAACAACATTTACAGAAACCTCTCCAACAAGAGAACTTTCAGCAACTTTACCGTTGTCAAAGCTACCGGAGATGAATGCAAAACAGTAAAATAAGGGCTAAATTTTACACAAACACACTTACAGCCTTTTTTCATTTTACATGTCCTTACGGGGGCTAACCCTAAACCCTCAACCCTAACCCGTAACAAAGTCCCCCACAATTCAGGACCATCCCTGTTTTCGCCCCCGTGGGCGACGCTGTGTTTGTTAAGTCTTAGGTAGAGTACAGAGAACGTACAATATTACAGGACTAGAGCATTTGACAGGTAATTGATTTTGATACACTCTACCCATCTTTCTTGAATTTTCTGCTCTTCCATGGAACTGCCTGCTTCAAGCTCTGTTTAATTGTTGCCTGCAAATATCAAAGACATTTCTACTTCAAATAAAAGTAACTTCAACATTTCTAAACGAAAATTTAGGCGTCTGTTTGGAACTGCTTTTAGAACGCAATGCACACATGGCTGAAATAATTAAAAATGTTGTTGCAAAGATCATTATATAAGAATTTGGAAGAAAGCAATTCCAAATGCTTCTAGCTAAATCGCTTATAAGCAGAAGTGCTTCTTACAAAAGCATTTTGAAAGGGTTACGAATTTGGATCATCTCCAAACCTTAGTGTCTAGGGCCCTTGGTTTGTGTGAGGTGTGCTGGCAAAATGAGTTAATTGGGACCGTTAGATTCAATTTGAGTGATTCAGATTGCCTAGTCCTTGAGTTTCGGACGGTAAGATCCGAAGTGGATCTCTGTCTGGCCGTAATGACTTTTTCTTAAGTACATATACACTCGTGGCCTTGGCCAAACCAGCAACGTAGCATGTCCTCACATTCTCATTCCATTCCTCTGCCTACCCTACACAAGCCAATCTATGTTGTCGTACTCAGAGACCTGCTTAGTTGGGCACGCATGGGAGGTTTTGGGCATCTCTGAAAATTCGACCACGTTCGATGTATGGCCTACACCGGATGAATAGAGGACTGGATATGCGCCAAAACTTCAACAATCAAGATCTAACGACTAAATATCCCGGTGTATGCCAGAAAAATCTGTCTCTTTCTCTAGGAAATAGCTACATCAATTTGCCTTCCGAAAAGGGCAACTCCTCGCACCCTCACAAGGCTTTGGATTAAAACCAACTAGAGTTCGTACTTTCTCCATCGAACTCATACATGCGATACTCGAGTGCAGGGATGAATGCTCTTAATCCATTCAAATTTGAATTGCGATATAAAATATAAATGTACCAAAATATAAAAGCGAACTAAAAGTAGAAACCAAGTAAAGGAAGAAATATTTACCCAGAAATGAGGCTTGGCATGAGAGAGACTAGAAAAGCTCCCAACCCTTGTAATCCCTGTCGTCTTCTTCTTCATCTTCAACCTCCCACTCTCTCCTCCCACACTGCCCCCACCGTCACTCTCTCCATCCACAGAAGATGGAAAGACATAACAAGCCCCACTAACCTCTCTTTTTCCCTTCAACACCCTCCTCCCCCATGAGTCAAACCACCCTCTCTCCTTCCCTTTCCTTCTCAGAACCAGAGCACCAAGCTCCCCTCCTCTCTCAGGGCTAAAACCGCCATAACACTCCATCCTGAATGAGGAAGACTGAAGCTTTGACCTGCCCACATAAGGACCCTCCAACACTGTTGTGGGAGACAGCAGTTTGGCTTCCAGAAGAAGCCTTGGAGGGAGCTCTAAGCACTTTCGGGAAAAGTCAGTTGGGTTTGGAATGGTGGCCAGGGCAGTGCAGGGCCTTGGCTTCCCGGGCTGCTCTTCCCAACGGAATGGGACTGAGACTGAGGTGTGGAGTGGTGGAGTTAGGGTGCCTGAAGGCTCATGGGAGTGAAATGGTGGGGCAGAAAATAAGGGCAGTTGTGGTGGCTCTGCCTCATCAGATCCCAGCCCCATTGCTGTAACAGTTTTGGGAGTGAAGGGGAAGGGTCAATGGAGGAGAAGGAGAAGACAGAAAGAAAAGTCCTCAAAGGAAAAAGGAAAGCCAAAAGCACTTATAAGTCACATCCATCTTTTAATGGAGGATTGCTTTGTTTTGGTCTGCTGTCATATTATTTCTCTGCTCATTGATAGGAAATACCCAACATATGGTAATTGATGGCGTGCCCCCAGTGCACCTACTCTCTTGTTTTTTATTAGAATTACTATTGGGCATAGGAAAATGTTAGAGGATCAGTAGCAAGTGCACTTGTGAATTGATTTGAATCGTTCATGTTTATTGAACTCGCAAAATATGAATGGCTATATCAATTTCATGTGAGTTTGCTATAAAGATCAGTCACGCTAATTGAACTCACAAACTAAGAAAATGTCATATCAATTCTGCTTGCGTTGTTAACTAATTCCGGTTATTCATGTTAATTGAACTCACAACGAATGATCGGGTAAAATCAATTTTATATGCGTTTGTGACTGTTCCTACTATTCCCCCTTGGATAGCATTAAAAGCAAAGCATGCTTTGGTTGAACTTGTTTACGACTGATTCTAGCATTCCTTTTAAGTATTAGTAAAAGTAAAATATGATTGATCATGATTATTTTTATATGCGTTCGCAACTAATCCTATCTTCTTAAATAATAATCAAAGCAAAAACTGAAATGACCAATATTAATGTCGAACACTTAAGCAACTAATTTTAGCATTCCTCTTCAATCGTAATAGTAATAAAAGCAAACCAACTTCTATATTATCTCCTTTGTAATTGGGAACACCAGAACAAACAATTTGACAACGATTTTTATCTTATCTTCACTGTACACTGTGTAGTCCTGTGTACTGTGCCACATGGTGAAATTTGGTGCACATGAGAACATCAGATTGGTGTTATGAAAGCATAGGATGCCAACCTGTGATGGAGAATAAAACCCTTTTCAGAAGTACTACTGACCTTGTCCAACCCTTTTCAGAAGTACTACTGACCCTTTTTTTGGACTTTAGTTTGTCAATCAAAGTTAAGTTCCCTCCAAAAAGGTCATTTCCTCTGTGCCACTAGCCCTAAAAATCATCCCATCTCAAGGCAAATGCAGATTATGTCCTTGTAAATCTAAAGGTTCAAAGCATGAGAAACACATATTCAATAGTGCTAAAAGTGTTTGAAGTTTGAAGGGTTGGCACTAAGAGAATGATACCAGCTGGCTTGAAAGACTTAACAAAACCTGCCTCCAATTGACCGCAGATGTAATAAGGGGGATTCGTGCATAATTGGACATGTCTTTTTCTGTCTCTTTCATTATATGATTAATATAAGAAAAATAAAGAATAGAGATATATCACTGATTGCACCCAAAACTTTTTCGTTATTGAGGAAATTTTTCTGTATAAATTCGCATTTTATTAAGAATGTGATTTATGTCCTTAAATTGTTGGATTCTTGATTAGGATATTGATTAATCAAAATACATTAAATTGTGTTGCCATTAACTAAGGATTGGCAGTAAAGATGCACCTAAGGATTCAAAGTCAACTGAACAACACAAAATCTTAGTTTATTTTGGAGCACATTTTTAGGCATTGTGTGATACAGAGCAAGAAGTAATATTGTGACATCCCACATCGCCCAGGGGAATGATCCTTATATCTATATTCTCATCCCTACCTAGCACGAGGCCTTTTGGGAGCTTGTTGGCTTCGGGTTCTATGAGAACTCCGAAGTTAAGCGAGTAGCACACGAGAGCATTCCTAGGATGGGTGACCCACTAGGAAGTTGCTCGTGAGTTCTCAAAAACAAAACCGTGGGGGAATGGTAAGCCCAAAGTGGACAATATCGTGCTACGGTGGTGGAGCAGGCCCGGGAAGTGATCCTGCCTTGGGCCGGGATGTGACAATTTGGTATCAAAGCCTAACCCTGATTGCGTGTGTGCCAATGAGGACGTCGGGCCCCTAAGGGGGGTGGATTATGACATCCCACTTCGCCTAGGGGAATGATCCTTATATGTATATTCTCATCCCTACCTAGCACTAGGCTTTTTGGGAGCTCACTGGCTTCGAGTTCCATTGGAACTTCAAAGTTAAGCGAGTAGCGCGCGAGAGCATTCGCAGGATGGGTGACTCACTGGGAAGTTGCTCGTGAGTTCCCAAAAACAAAACCGTGAGGGAATGGTAAGCCCAAAGCGAACAATATCGTGCTACAGTGGTGAAGCGGGCCCGGGAAGTGATCCACCCCGGGCGGAGATGTGACAAATATAATTGTGAATGCAAATTTCTTATACGGTTGATTTGACAAAAATTCTACCAATAAGAGAACACATGTCGTTAGCCTAATTGATGAATACCCTAAAAAGGGAGGAGAGTGCCCGCCAATGGATATCCGATGCCTAAGTCAAAAAAGTAGTAGAGAGAGAAATAGAACATGCTTGAGAGTGTTGTGAATAGTAAGGGGCGATTACTATATTCTCTTATTGACTTGGCTTTTTATAGGGAAGAAACCCTAGCAAGCAGCTCTGAGGGAAGGTTGCAAAGCATACTAGACAACCATTAATGGTGCAGGCTAGTCTTTGCAATCCTACCTACTAGTAGTCTTAAGATCCATGTAGGTAAAAGTGTTGGTTCACCAGACTTTCAAGGGGAGACTCTGGAGAGTCGTGGCCCTACCATCATTGGATCGGATATGGCTTGATGGCGTGATGTATTATAGGCAGCTGGAGAGCCCATGGTTCATTAGTAAAAGCCTAATTACTTTAGGGCTGATTACATTTTATTTTCTTAGAGTAATTTTGTGATTTACTCACGATGTCAAGGGTAAAATCGTTATTGAGCGTTTAGTTCACGTGTCCTTCTTTTATTGGATTGGTTAATTTAGGAAAAATTAATATCTGGTCCTTAGTTACTAATGTTCATTGACTGAAACATTATTAGTTTTCAGAAGATGATCCAAGTCCCTAACATTAATGTAATAATGAATTTACATGTCAATTACATTTTTTTTAAATAAAAATTAATAATTGATTTAGGATTTTAATACTCACACCTTTATTAAACTCCTAACTAATTTTCAATTCAAAACATTTCCAAAATAAATAAAAAATTAGAATAAGTTTGCACCCATTAGCTTTTTAAAAAAATGTTTTCAAATTTTTAAGTGTATATGCACCCATTCATGTTTTTTTTTTTTCAATTTTTAATCTTAAAATGTACCCATTCTTAAATATACCAATTTGTTATATGTAAAATGTACCCCTTTGTTTTTATATAAAATCTACTCAATTTTTTTCTAACCATTTTTAAACTTATATGGGTACATTCTTTTCTTTTGATTTGAGAATGTATCCATGTCAAGTTTAATCGAAGAAATTTACTTATGTTATTAAGCCTAATATCTATTACTTTTTTTGTGTGGTTTTGAAGAATGTACCCATGTTTTTGTACGATAATTTTTTTGTTAATTTTTATGAATGTACCCATGTTTATATATACATACACACAATAGTATAATTTATATTCTAATAATTTTAATCCCACAAATTATGGATTTTTATTTAAAATCTCATTAATATAAAGGGAGTTTTAACAAAAAAACCACGATACTATTCACTTTAACGAAAAACCACATTTTTACACGAAAAGGTCAAACCTGGTATTATTCACTTTACCCTTTATTTTGTCATTATTATTAAAACTCAAAGATTTCAAACCTTTTTTATTAGTTTTTTTAATATAAACAACTATAATTTTTAATTTTTAATTTAAAAAAAATATAGTATCATACATAGAAATAAAATATCACATTAATTTCAAGAACTTTGATCAAAAATTGAAAATCAACGAGGCTTTAGTCAAAGAATATTGATAACTTTTTATCCAAAAAAAATATTGATAATTAAGAACCGCATCCAAAATCTCTGGTTAATTTATGAATAGTAAAGGAATGTTTACCTATAACCCTATGTGAAATGACAAATCTGCTCAAACAATACTCATGCTATTTTTTTTTTTTTTTTTGGGTTCCAATGATGACATTTGAATTAGGATAGTGGTATTAGGAGTACTTGTGTGGCTAATAGGTGTTGTGGATGGCGTGTTAGTTGCTGCGATGTCATCCAGGAGCAAAAGTCAAGGGGGGAAAGCAGAAAGCATGTCCTTTTCAGAATTAGCTTTGCTCAAAAGCAGATTTGTGATATCACAAAAGATCAAAGCCCCTTATCTCTCCTGTGACCATATATAGTACAAGCACAATTGCAATTGAATAAATTCATAAGTACTTATTTCCCTCCAACTCACTGCTAAAGCAGTAAAACTTGCATGTAACAAGAATGTGTATTTATTTCTCATTACATCAACGTTACAGCTAACAAAAACAAAATAGCGCAATTGCAAAATGCTCATAGAAGTCTTAGTTTTTGTAAAAGTAAATTGAAATACGTTGTATCATAAATCCGGATTCATAAACAAAATTAGCATAATCAAAGTTGATGTAATTTGCTTTGTCTTGTTTGGCAAAATTACTAAAAACTCACTAAACCCATAATTATTGCCAAAATCCAATAAGTAAGAATCTAAGACCAAACCCAACCCTGGGCTAAATGCTATTTTTTTGGTTTTATTCCCCTCCCAAACCCAACCAAACTCATGCTAAATGTGTGTGCTAAAAGCTAAAAGCCAAATTCCCCCAAGGATTTAGCCCAGAAAATGGTGTGGGCACCACCAACGGGACCCCACCCACACTGGCATATCTCCCAAGATTTATTGAATCCAACGGCTGAGATTGAATATAATCAAATCTAACGGCCCAAATTTAAATCTAACAGCTAAAATAATTAAAAAAAATTATTTAACTCAAAATTCACTCAAATTTAGTGATTTTTCAATATTTATCGAAATTTAAATGTTTTTTGGTTAAAATGTTCATAAGATTAAATTATGATAGTGTGCATAATTTTTTTTTTAAAATTACTTTAAAGGAATAAATTAGCCTAAATTTATTCTTTAATAATCTCATGCTAAAAAATTTAGGTCAAAAGGATAGTAGCAGAAAAACTATTTATGGGCTAAAACCTAAATTTTATGGGCTAAAAATTTTAGGTTTTAGCACAAGGGTTAGAAATGATCTAAGGATAACAATAATTAAAGTGTAATTATGCTCTAAAAAGTTATTAAAAAATA